CTGCTGCTGCTGCAGCCGCCGCACTTCTCGTTGCTGGTGGTCCAGCGCGGACTCGCAACTCCGAACTTTCTCCTCCCGCTGCTTTGCTGCAGCAGCAGCTGCGAGTCGACTAGCTTCCCCTTGCTGCTGCTGCAGCGCCTGCTCCATTTCAGCCACCTCAGCAGCAGCAGCGTCTGCTGCTGCTGCTGCTTCTGCTGCTCTGAGGTGTGGAATCGACTCGCTCAGCGCAGCAACCTCCGACTTGAGGCTCTTTAGCTGCAGCGAGGCAGCAGCAGCAGCAACACAAGAGCAGCACAGCAGCAGCAGCAGCAGCAACAGCAGCCAATCAGAAAGTCACTGTCTCCCCCAGACAGCCTGCTCTATCTTCATATCTCGGTAAAGACATCCAGCAGCTGCAGCTTTTTAACAGCTAGCTGCCGTCAGCCGTATCCCCCAGCTAGCTAGCTAGCTAGCTAGCTAGCTAGCTAGCTAGCTGGCTAGCTAGCCAGCTGACTAGCTAGCTAGCTGACTGGCTAGCTAGCTGACTAGCTAGCTTGCTGGGCCCAGCTAGCTGGCGATTCTCTGCAAAATTAGCTAGCTAGCTGCGGTCAGTTGTCTGCCGGTCCTGGCCAGTTGGCTAGCTGGCTAACTGGCTAGCTGGCTAGCTACGGCGCTGCGCACCTGCTTGCACTGCTGCTGCTGCTGCTGCAGCCTCGCGTTGGCCGCCTTGGCTGGAAGCAGCCCGTCTTCAAAAGCCTTCAATTCTTTCAAAGCAGACTCGTGTCTTTGTGCTGCTTCCCGCAGGCTGCTGAGGGCACTGCCCAGCCCTGAAAGCAGCAGCAGCAGCAGCAGCAGGGAGGAGCACGCACAGTGAATCTCTCCCGCTGCGACCCCAGCAGCCGCAACAGTGGCAGCAACCACACCACAAAGAGCAGCAGCTACAGTAACAGCATCACCGGCATCAGCAGCAGCATAATCAGCAGCAGCAGCAACATCAGCAGCAGCAGCATCACCAGCAGCGACATCACCAGCAGCAACATCACCAGCAGCAACATCACCAGCAGCAACACCACCACCACTACGATCATCAGCGCTATCACCAGCAGCAGCAGCAGCAGCATCACCAGCAGCATCACCAGCAGCAGCGCCACCACCACCACCAGCACCATCACCAGCAGCAGCAGCAGCACCATCACCATCACCAGCAGCAGCAGCAGCAGCAGCAGGGTACCGCTGGCGCAGAGGTAGAACTGGTAAAGGGAGTGTTCGGTGGCTCTGAAGAGAAAGGCTTTGGCGAGTTCTTGAGGAAGGAAAACAGCAGGATTTGAAAAGTCTAATTTGAAGTGATTTAGAAGAGATTTAACTTCGGAAAGTTTTATTTCTCTTTTCCCAACGAGGAGGCCCCCGTGGCCCTCCACGTACCAGCTGCTGCTGCCCGTGCCCCACTCGCCCTCCTCCCCCTCCTGCTGCTCCTGCTGCTGCTGCTGCTGCTGCTGCTGCTGCTTGCGGCTGCTGCGCTTCTTCACTATTTCCCGAGATAATGTCAAATAGTCCCCAAAAACTCCATGACAATAGGCTTTGTCTAATGGCACAAATGCATCTCCTGTCAGCAAAGACACTCGACTTACGAGGCCCTCTCCTTCTTCCTTTACCCGCTGTAAACACGGGGGGGGGCCCCAGGGGGGCCTCCCCGGGGGGCCCCCAGGAGGGC